TAAGATGGGCTAATGGTGCTTTATTATCATCAGAATTTGAACACTAGAAGTTGGAGGGACGTAATCTTCAAGGTAAATGTGTTTTCTACTTGTGTACCCCCATATTCTCCATGCCCACTGTTACATCCATAGCAATGAAAATCCCACCTTCAGTTATAGACTGTATTATGTGCATAAACACAAAATTAAAACATATTATAAAGACAAGAAGTTCCCGATAACTGTCTTAGTGCTACATACATAATAAAGACCCACTTCAAACATAAAGTAGGAAAGTCTAACTAGGGATGATGGGAGCAGCATCCAACTCGAATGCAGAAGTTGGGTACCATCCTGCTGCACTGACTTTCCAACACTAGTGAACTGTGATGGAGCCATTCCTGCAGGCCAATTCAGCTACTCCTCACTCTGTCACCTTCAAAAGCTCTGAGATGACTCTGCCATAGTCGGCCTCCTCAAAGACAAAGAGAACTCATCTTTTGAAGGTTAGGGCCTTTTCGTAAACGCCTTCCTTGACGCTGCATCCATCGGTGGTCTTTTATGGTATGGGATTTTGGTGCAGCAACTCATCCGCAGCTGATGAAAAGTAGTTAAATTAGCTAACTAATAAGGACCTGATTTTATTTAAGATTTCTCCTGCCTGTTGGACGGTGCCGCAGTTGGTGGCGCTGTTGCCTTGCAGCAAGAAGGTTCTGGGTTGGAGTCTCTGGCCTAGGGTCTTTCTGCATGGAGTTTGCATGTTCTCCCTGTGCATGTGTGGGTTCTCTAGAGGTAATTCCTCCCACTGTAATGGTTTCTGCACTGTTTCTGGCCTGATCACTCAGTCCATACACCTGCTCTGCTCCACTTGTCTGCAATCAGCTCTGACCGGAGTCACCTGTTTCCAGCACTTTAAAAACCCCATCAGATCAGTCCTCTATGCCAGATTATCTCGAGCCAAACCGCTACGAATAGTCCAGCATCTAAAAGAGTACCTGACTGCCTATCTGTTTCTGACCCGATCTGCCTCCTGATTCTGAGCCTGCCTGACCCCTGTTTGATTCTGCCTGCCTGATTACCCTCTCTGCTCTGCCTCTGGATCTCCGGATCTCTGTGTCGTTCTGATCGGCCTGCCTGCTCCCCTCTCTCTGGATCTCTGACGCGGAAAAGCTCCGCTCAACTGCCTGCCTCTCCATCCTGGATCTACCTGGTAAAGCCTCCCTCAATCTGCCCGCCTGTCTACCTGCAGCCTGTTTGCCCACACAGATTCAGCCCAGTTATCAGATTAACGCTTTCAATAAACCAATCAAACGTCACTAACCTGTCTTGGTTTATTTGGATCCAGGCTCTGTCTCATTACACCCACAGTCCAAAAACATGACTGTTAGGTTAATTGGCTCTACATTATGCTTAGTTGTGAGTGTATCTGTGCATTGTTCTATGTCTTTATGTTTCTCTGTGTTGCCCTGCAACAGACTGGTGACCTGTCCATGGTGTACCCCAACTCTCGCTTGCAGACTGACGGAGATAGGCACCAGCTTCAACAAGACACTGACAAGGACTAAGCGGGAGAAAATGGATGGAAAATATGGATTTCTTCTGCTAATAATGCAGGTGGAAGACAAAAAGTAGATAAAATGTATAAATCCCTATTGGAAAGCTCATTTAGTGACAGACTGTTGGATTATAGATGCATGCCATGTAGAATTTCCACAAATGTTCTACTTACTGGTAAACTTCTTGCTAAAATCGTTTCTGCTTCCAACAGTGCAGATAATCGTTTGCACACACAGGCCCTTTATGTGATCTCTTTTTTATTTGACAGTTCTAACCCATTCAATATGTGCTTTACAGATTGCTTCTTTCTGCTATGGAGGAGTTTGCTTTTTAGTTATTTGCTTTTTACCTAAATACGTGTCTTCTTATTAACAGCTAAAGTATTTTCCATTCCGAGGGGTTTTCCTTTTCTCATCTGCTGTGCAGCTTAAATGTGTTGATCTTTTCACATGATTTAATTTTGAGTGCAAGTTTTATGTCTGTCTACAGTTTTTCCCTCACCGTAGGACAATAAAGCCATTTCTTTATTTTTATCATCATCATCCTTACCCACTCCTCTCCTGTGAGATCAACAACACCTTTCAATCTGCTAATCTAAGGCTCTGAGAATACTTTTCCATTCCAGACTCTTCTCTGTGATGAAGTGAGAGAGATTCATCTTGAAAAGTTAAGTATATCAAAAGTTTCACTTTCACTCAGAACAGTCTGTCTGAAAATCCGACCACGGCCTTCATGGGGACTGGAATCCCCTTTCTTTCCCGTTTTGATGCTGTTTTTAACCTTTAGAAGGTAGTAACTACATCTAGTAAACTGAGTTGCTGCCATGTGATTGGCTAATTTACTGTCAGTGCTAATAAGCATTTGAACAGGGGAACCTGTTAAAGAGAATGGACACTGTGGAGAATTTGGCTTCAAGCCAAACTAAGTTTTGAAGAAGCAATGAAAGGAGTAAAGAACATTTAAAATGAAATGCCTTGTTAAGATTGTAGCTGTACATTGAATTTTTTATTGCTCTCATATGTGTTCGTGAGGGAGAGGCGAGAAAGAAGAGCTACTGTTGCATCCTGTGTGGATATGGAGCTCGCTCTGTGGCTGATGACTCAGTTCCTGAACACTGAGTTATACTGAGAGTGATTTACAGAAAGACACCAAACAATTGGCAGGTAGAGGAGGAAGAAGACTGGCAGGTTTCGGGTGGTAGAGAGCGCATATGGAAAATGTTAACACGAAAAGAAAAAAGAAAAGTACATGGAGGGGGCATTTAGAAAGAAAGGAGAGACTGAGTCCTAATGACCTTTTTCCTGCACATAAAACAATATATTTGGTCAGATATTTCCTCTGCTCTGCAGACATTTGCTCTATTTTTGGGTTAACATCATAAGAAACCCACCAACCACCAACCCATCAAACCTACCAACCCGTCAACGTTTCTAACTAATTTTCCCTGCTCTGTGACGCACCGACTGAGAAGCCCACTCTGGTAATTGGCAGCTCCATAGTCAGAAAAGTGGCATT